TTACTTGGAGAAACCAGAACAATGAGGAGGTCTCTTTGATCTTCTCTGCTCAATCACACCAGCCTTACAACTCAACACCTCCAACACCTATTGCAGCTTTCTTAAATCTGCTGATTGCTGTCTGCCCAGGGTCCAAAGCAGGCGTGTCGAGACGCAGAAAAGACACCGGGAGCATAAACACCAGACGTGTGGGAGCTCATAATAGTTACTCTGCAGGAATGGAAAAGCACTCTGTGTAGGCTCCAAGCCACCCAGCTCCTTAATGCCTTCTCTTACGCCGTAGAGATAATTACCGGGACTAATTAAAAAGTGACTAAAAAGCATTAAGCTATAACTCACATGCCTTTTAAATAAAATTCGTTTGTCAGAAAAAGAGCTACCAAACCCTTCCTAATTTTCCTAGTCTGTAGCAAATCTAAACACAAAGGATACAGGAGCAAAACCTCCAGGAGTCTGTCCTAAAAAGCTGCAGAACAAATTAAAGAAATTATTTCCTAAGCAAGTTCTGAGCTTGGTCAGTGCCTTAAAAGCAGAAATATATTTGTATACAGTAGACCCCTGAGAAGGCTTTGGTGCACAGCATCCCTGAGCCACGGTTACCATCCCTACAGATAGTCCTCGAGTTACGACCGCAATTGAGCCCCAAATTTCTCTTGCTGAGCAAGGCAGTTGTTAAATGAGTTGTGCTCCATTCTACAACGTTGTTGTTTTTTTGCTAGAGTTTTTAAGAATTGCTGCTTCTAAGTGAGACAGTTGTTAAGCGGGATTTTCCCCCATTTTACGACCTTTCTTGCCACTTGTTAAGCGAATCCAGCTTCCCCATTGACTTTGATTATCTGATGGTCACAAAAGGGGATCGCATGGCGCCAGGACACTGCAACTGTCATAAATGTGAGTCAGTTGGCAAGCAGTTGAATTTTAATCACACGACCTTAGGAATGCGGCAACAGTTTTAAGTATGAAAAGCTGTCACAAATCACATTTTTTTTCAGTGCTGTTGTAACTTCGAACAGCCACTAAACAAACTGTCGTAAGTTGAGGACGGCCTGTATTTCCCAAAATGCCCCAACATTATATTACAGAAAATTAAAGCTGTCATTCCCAACCTCCAGTTTGGGTCATTTCAAGAGGAACTTGGCAGGAGGAGGAAGAGGAGGAGGATATAAGAGGAAAGTCTTCAAACAACATATCACTATCTTCTCCTGAAATCTGGCCCAGGTCCCACCCTTTGAATTCCACACTAGAAGATAACAGAGACTTCAAAAACAACAACAACAAAAAAAAACAGATGCTCTTTGATCTGCCTCCCTTCTGATCTCCCAATACTTTGTTTTTACGGAAGAGGCTGCAAGTAACAGGAAAGGCGGGTGTGGATGTCTATATGGGTTTGTGGGCACGAGTGGACTGGACAAATTAAAGAGTCCCAGGATAGAAGAGGAGGAAGAGAATTGGTAAAGGGCTAAACGGGCTGGAGTTATGCAAAATGGCTCCAGTTATTCCCAGAAGACCAAAGGGCGGTAAGTGACACCCTTTGGCTTCCAACCAAGGCAGGTGCAACATTGACCGTTCCTGCACCTGTCAACCACCTGCTGAGGCTGCCACACCCTTGCCCAGAACCCAATAACTCCTACTTGCTTTCTGGTTAACACTGGGCTCTTAAGCAGAGAAACCATACCTGCCGGTTTACACAGCAGTTAATTCTCTATTACCCACAAACGGCCTCCCACAGCTCTGCCAGGAAGCTCTGAAATCACTGTAACTTATTCCCCAACCAGTATATCTTCTACTCCACAGAAAGGCTCACTTGTATTTACCTGGGATTAATGGCTTTCCAGGTTCCCAAATGCTTACCCAAAAGTCAAATACTGGTGTCCCAAAGGTGCTTTTTCAAGAGGCAACTGGACTTTCTTGTTATTCTTTGAAGATGTCTCGCTTCTCACCCAAGAAGCTTCTTCAGCTCTGACAGGATGGTGGGGCTGAATTCTTCAGTCAGAGCTGAAGAAGCTTCCTGGGTGAGAAGCGAAACGTCTTCAAAGAATAACAAGAAAATCCAGTTGCCTCTTGAAAAAGGGACAACCATGACCTGGATGACTGAGAATCTCCATAGTCAAATATTGGTGGTCATTCACTTTCTAAACCTACTAGAATTTTGACCCACACATGGCATTCTGTAATGGCCCAGTTCCTACATCTTTTAGAACTTCTTTTTATACACATTTTTTCCCTTAGACACCACACTTTTTATACATAACCAGCTTTCCCCGGGCTGGTACCTTGTGAAAGTCAGTATTGGATAGCAGAGATTTAAAGGTTGAACTAGGAGCGGGGAGACCCGGGTTCAAGTCTCCCCTCAGCCACCCAAGCTCACTGGTTTGGGCAGGTCCATATCTCTCAGCCCAAACCACCTCACAGGGCTGTGGTCATAGGGTAAAAACAAAGGAGGGTGTGCTGTGAATATAACAACCAAGTTATTCAAGTACTGTTGTAGGGGAAATTTAATCCCAACATTTCTGGAAGACTGCCACAATTCCACTATCTTCCCCGGCCTTCTGTTATTCCAGCAGAATTCCAACTTTTCCTTTGAAAATCCCAAAGTTTGAGAAACTTGTTTACCAAAAAGTGTGCAAAAATGATGGGTAGGAATGCATTGTCTTTACACCACAATTACCAGCTCATGAGGTAAGCCACCCCTGCATTTGGGCCCAGCCTTTGTGCTCAGAGCAGTCCTGAATCCGAGGCTGCCAAACCAAAACCCTTTCTAAACAAACTCAGTACTGAGATGAGCCTCCTTTATGCGCTCATTCACAGGCCAACTTCCTTCTCCTCCCAGCTCCCAGCACATTCAATGCTGCCTCCCACTAGGTCACACTCCCACCCAACCTCTGGGGATTGGACAAGACCTAGCCAAACGAGTCAGAGGCAAGACAGGCGCCAAGCTACTCAGAGTCCTGCCCAACGGTGCCCAACCAAGTGGAAGTAACAAGCCTGGCACCAACAAACCAGCAGTGCCCTCCTTGGCTCATTAATTTCATGGGCATTCCCAGGGTGAGGCCATTAGGTGGTGGCAAATAATTGCCTCAACCCTCTTGGGGAATTAATGTAGGAGTCTTTTGCTTGACAATACCCCTCCCTAGAAATCATATTTCCTTTAAAAAAAAAAAAAAAGGAAAGAAGATCCCACCAGGGAGCAGAGAGAGAAATGAAAGAAGTTTGGGACTTCAGGAGATACTCCTCCAATGTGGCTTTCTAGGTGCTGCAGAACTACATTTCCCAGCATTCCATACTATTGGTTATGCTAGGAACTGTGGTTCGTCAGCCTCTGGACCGTTGTGTGTGTTATATGTAATTCTCACTTCAACTAAAAACTGAGATTGAAACAGAGAGATTTCTCGCGAAAGACGTAGGCCCCATACTTACAACCATCATTGAGCCCAACATTTCCATTGCTAAGACAGGCAGTTGTTAAGTGAGTTTTGCCCCATTTTATGACCTTTCTTGCCACAGTTGTTAAGGGAATCACTGCAGTGGTTAAGTTAGGAACACAGTTGTTAAGCGAATCTGGTTTCCCCATTGAGTTTGCTTGTCAGAGGGTCGCAAAAGGTGAACACGTGACCCCAGGATACTGCAACCGTTGTAAATATGAGTCAGTTGTCAAGCATCTGAATTTTATCACGTGGCCATAGGGCTGCCACAACAGTTATAAGTGTGAAAAACGGTCATGTCACTTTTTTCAGTGCTGTTGTAACTTCAAACGATCACTAAATCAAAGGTTGTAAGTCAGTAAGGAAAAGGGGCTCCAATTCAGTGCATAGCTTGATATAAAGCTGATATAATCTGAATCCTTTTAAATATATCCTAATGCTCTTTGAATGTTTTGATACTACAGCTCCTATAATTCTTTGCCATTGGCCATGTTGGCTGAGGCTGATAGGAAGTGAGTTCCAAACTGTTGGATAACCTATGGCTCATAACAAACTCTGGATTTGAACCCATGCAAATGAAACTATGTGCAAATGTGTGGATCAACATATTTTCTTGTAAATGGACCCTCATTATCTTTGTCCATCAGTCCTGCAAAGACTGATCAATGCATCGCCTATAGGGCATTTCCTACTCTCTCGCCTGCCCCCTGCAAGCTGCTTGTCAATCCCCCACTCCGGTCAATGGTGCTCTAAGACTGGCAGTGCCCGCAATGGAATCACAAGAATGCCCTTGAAAAACCCACAACCCAGCTGGCATTGGCAAACACGGCAACCTGATCAGCAAGGATAACTCCAAGCCCTCGCCTTCCAGGCACCAAATGGACAAAATGAAAAATGTAGCTGGGCGGTCTTGGACGAAGGAAAAGGAAATGAGGGGGGGGGAAAAGGGGATATAATAAATCTTTGGGACATTTGCCTTATACTGAAAAATACAGAGCTTTTAGGCCTAGGGAGCTGATCTAGCCTGCATCTTCCAAAAGGAAGCCACAAGGCATGGCGCCATGCCCAGGGGTAATTGGTTCCAAATGCGTCTCCTTCTGGGGTGTGGTGTGGGTAAAAAGGCAAAAAGCACAGATTTGGGCAGAGGTGCCAGTTGAAATATCACATCTTCAAAGCTGGTTGAAGATGAGGAGTCAGAAGGGAGTGGTGCCCCGTATTCAAACAGGGAGAGAGGTTGGGTGCCAGGACTGCCAAGTTCTCTTGGCCAGGAGAAGATGGTGTCAGATCAGGACGGACTTGAGTGGGTTAAGAATAGGAACCGGCATCTTGGGGACTGAAGCCTTGCTATAATTGTTAGTTCAGATAACCACAGGAGTTTTTTTTTCCTTGGGATGACTGGAATATTTTTTTGGCAGAGGCTGCCTCCCCTACTGCCTTAACCTCTAGAAGGCCGGTGGCCTGAATTGCACACTGGATTTGCATGATTAGAGCCCATCTGGGTTAAGAATGATTCTCCTCTGTTTTTCATCCGTCCAAACTTCTTTTTCCAACAATCGCCCCCTCGACCCCAATGAGAGGATGCAACAAATCTCAGAACATCTCATGCCAAACACAAATGAAGTAGCTTTACTCACTTACCAGGAGCTCAAAGGCTTCCACAGTTATCTTACTGCCATCAACCCAAGAGGTATCCTGTATGACTCCATCCATTTCCATTGACCGAGGACTGTATATGTTACTTGCTTAACCTTTGGTGAGCAAGGCAGACTAAGTTTGCCATTAAGAAAAACAAGTGATATTCTCCTTCGATAAGGTGAGGTGTCACACGCCATCAATGACACTGTGAAATGTTAGGGACCACTCTTCCCCCCCCCTCCTGTTTACCCATGGCAGAAAGCAACCGGCACGGGGCAAGCAAGAACCCATGGCATTCAACTCTTCCCACCACATTTGAGTGGCACAAACAACTGCAGTTGCCAGATGCAAATAACCAGGCGCATTCGTTGAGTTCAAAGCATAGAAGAGTTTATTATTGCTACCTATACACAAGAATCCGGTTAACTAACAGTCAAAGCTAAATTGGCACTAGATAAGCGTCAACAGAATTCACAGGGGGCCGGACTTGGGTGTCTTGTGGCTGCACAATGACTCCAAACACATGACACATTTAACTCTGCCTTCCAGCTCAGCCTGCTCATCTCCTACAGTATCAGCACTCGTGACTTGTTCCCCATTTGGACTACAACCCAACACACAAACACACACACCTTTTAAGGCTAAAGAAAGACAACCAAGAGAGCCATTATCATTATGGCAGCTATCACTCTCCCAGGTCCAAAGGTAGCACTAATGACAAAACATAATTGCATTTGATGCAGGATAGATACTTGGGAAAGAGATAGGGAGCCTAAGTCTTCCTCAGGCTTTGCTCCAGCACATCAAATAATCTGTCACTGCACATGTCACAATCCTGATTTTCTTGAACCTTAATATAGACTATTCTTGTTTTCTTTATCTTTTAGATGAAGGCAAAAAAAAGAGATGAAAGACAAATACAATAAGCACAGCTCTGCATTTTCATAATGCAGTACAATTATTTCACTTTCAAATTATTTGCTGGCAGACAAACAATGTGTGCCTAAGAATAACTAAATTATTCCAGGGTTCTGTTCCTATAGTACAGCCCTATGTCAGCGGCCACCGTAGAAAGTACCAACCCTCCATTCAATAATTCAACGGCAAACTCACATTCCCATTTCAAAAATACACATTTAGTCAATCTCCAAGGGATTATCTTTCCCAGGTGTGACCATTTTAACACACTGAGATCCAATTAAGGCAGTGAGATCCAATTCTATACTCACGTGAAGCCAATGGTTCTGCTACAAATAGTCAATGAACGCTTTTAGAAACCTTCTGAATGAAGGTCAGGCCTATAAAATGGGACTAATTTGATCCTCCATGCCAGCTCACAACCAAACAGGCCTCACAATATATTCTCTGTAGAGACCGCACATATTCAATTTCCTTAAAGTGACATCTCCATCATATATGTCCGTACAAATACCAGTTCTTTCTTTCTTTCTTTCTTTCTTTCTTTCTTTCTTTCTTTCTTTCTTTCTTTCTTTCTTTCTTTCTTTCTTCCTTCCTTCCTTCCTTCCTTCCTTCCTTCCTTCCTTCCTATCAGAAATCTGAAGTCAGAAAAGCTGCCTTACTCGTGGGAAGGTTAATGTTATCTATAGCAGCACTTTTTACCATCCCTGTGCTGGCTGAGGATGGCTTTAGGACTTCTTAAAAAGCAAGCAAAGAGGGGAAAATGATAAGAGGGTAAGCTTTGAACTTGAGATTGTGCAATACACAATGTAATACGCACTGAATGCATTAAGGCAGGGGTTTTCAAACTTATTCAGATTGTGGAAAGTTTGTTTTTTTTATAAAAAAACCCGTGTTTCTTGAGAACGCCCACTTGAGAGATAAAATTCTAATTATTAGAAACTGGCTGCCTTTCATTGATTCCGCCCCCCACCCCCACCCGGCCCCAGAATCTCATGGAGTTCTAGGATTCCATACAAGGTTTGGGGAAACTGCTTTAGAACAAGGGGACAAACAGAAGGAACTTTTGAAAAGTACAGTAAGTGGCTGGGCTTGGGAATACTCAAAAGCTCTCTAAGCTGACAGTCACTATCTTTATAGCTACCACAGTCACAGGCTGAAATAACAAACCCAACTCAAATGTGTGTCACTGGCTACGAGGACGTGTGTGTGTGTGTGTGTGTGTGTGTGTGTGTGCGCGTCAAGTTTATGTCTGAGAGTATACGACTTCTGAGCCTGCCCACATGGCTCCTACGCTTCCCCCCACCCCGCTAATTGTTTTACCAGGCAGTTCATACAGAGTCTCAACGGCTCTAATGCTTTCTGTCACGATCCCTGTCCCATCCAGGAGAGGGGGGGCGAAGGGGGGGGCAGAGAGCAGGTTGCTTTCATGGCACTGGCATGCTGGTTGCTGCTATAAATATCAATTGCCTACAACGTAACCGTTTGGTGCTCAAGTCCAGCATAAACAAGGCCTAAGAAAAAACCCTTGAGAAACGAAGAAAATCAACCAGCTCTCTTCTCAAGTGCCACATTCAACCAGATTATTTAGAACCCACTTCAGAAAAAGAAGAGAAAAAAAAATCACTCTTCTAGCCCATTACCTAACCCACAGAGGGGGGGAAAAAAACCCTAAATCAGCATATTTCTTCTTAAAAGTGGCTGGTTCTTTCACCTTTCCCATAAAAAAGTTGCTAGCATCTCCAGCCACAGAAACATTAAAATACATGCATTCCCAATCAAAAATAGAATATTCAGTTCTTCAAATATGTGGAATGAAACAGCCAGCAAATGTCTCAAATAGCACTTAAATCTGATTTGAATAGCAAATATAAAGGAAAATGAAGCTTTAGATAAAAAAAATACCCTACCAAATGAATTTTAATAAATTTCTACTTTATGATTAAAAAATATATAGTTTTAGAGAGGGTGCTTAATGATCACAAACTTCAAAATTCCAAGCACTGTCAAATTTAATCATTTGCATAGTCTCTCATCCCTTTTCCTTTTGAAGCTCAGCACAGAGTTCAAGAGTTTCCACTCTTTTGTTCTTCCATTTACAGAAATTATCTCTAGTTCATAACAGAACTCTATGCCATACAAAATATTTCTCTTTAAGGGCCAGTGTTATTTTCTTTGTAACAGACTAACATTGCTACCCACCTCTGGAATTCGCCATTCTGTTGACATAGCAAGTTCCAAATGCTAAACATTCCAGGATCTGATTTGTTCATTTTGGTGGACATTCAAATAAAATACCTAATTGGCCTAATTAAATTCAGACTTTTTCCCAGCTGCTTTAAATTAGAGGTTAGACACATGTAGAAAACCTCAAAACCTCAATTTAAGAATGTTCCCCTTTCTCATTCTGGAAAAATACAACTACATTCCTGGAATAGCTGATATTATTTTGAGATCAACACACAGAAATCCCAACTGCTTTGCTGTAAATCCAAAGAATGTGTGCAGCACCCATCACACTTTGCTGCCATGGGATGAACATGGCAGATATATTATATGTAGACAGTGCATGCAATGTCATGAGACTGGAGGGAGGGATGTTGAAAAGAATAGCAGAATAAAGTCTTTGAAACCCAGAAGCCTATCTTAAATTACTTGGGTGTCCACAGCTAGGCCAAGCCTCTTCTTGTTAGCAAGTCCTGCAATATGGATAATATAACATAACAGAAGCTGTAATACATTCTCCTTTGTCATTTCCAAATACCTCCAGATGAAGTCTCCTTCAGTGATGCCAATTCACTTTATGCCAACCTCTCTTCTCATTAAGCTTCATAATTAGACACAATGACCCACTCAGGAAGCAAAAAAAAAAAACTTTATAAAGAAAGGCATGGCCTCATAAAGGTATGTTCTCTCTGGCAAGCACAATAATTTCCACCCTTTCAAAGCAGTGGCATTTTTATACTACCAGTCACTATCTGAATGAAGAGAAAGGAATGTCTATCCATAAGAAGCGAAGCTCAGAAGGAAATTTAAGCAGGGATGGAGGAAGGAGAGAGCTAGCTCAGAAAGGACTCTGCAGAAATTTGGCAGCCAGGAAGGGCATAATGAAGTCTTCCTCAACCATGTATCCTCCTTCCCCAGATGCTTTTCCATAATCTACAGCTAACATGGAAGCTGCAGTCTGAAACGTCTGGAGGATACCAGGCTGGGAGAGTTAAGGATGATGAGATGCACATATTTAAAGAATATCTGGTTGGGGGAAACTGACAGATGAATAGTGAAATGGATATAATCAGGTAGCGGAGCCATGAACAACTACAGAGGGAAGGGAAATAAAGGCACAGATTGGTGAACAAAAGCTAGGCATTTACTAGACAAGGGTAAGGAAAAGCAGGGGCCCAGTTTCACCATCATGGGCCACAGAAGTACGACTGGATACAAGCTGACTGGTCTTTTCTCACTCAGCCCACTTTCAGGTAAGGTGGATTGGTAAAATCATAAGCCATTTGGATTTTTTTTAATTAGGGGAAGCAATAAAAAAATAATCTGTGCTGATTTCTCTACCCAGTGCAAGTAAAATGCCATCTTTTCTGCCCTCTGAGGGATTTAATTAAGCTCACCCCAATTAACTGAAAAGGACACACCTCTGCACAATCCATCAGCAATTTAGTCTTTCATACAGTAAAGGCAGATTTTGCGGACCCAGAGGCTCCCCTCCCGCCGTTTCTCCAGACTCGCCAGATTCAAGGGGGGGGGGGAAACCCAAAGGAAATCAGCCATACAGAAAATTTAAATTAGAAAAAAAGGAGGGGAAAATAACGAATAAGCTTTACGGTACCTTAGCAGATCACCGAGTGCTACCCGGACGCCTCCAAGGCCCAGCCGCAACTGAGCTGCCAATGGCTAGGGGGAGGGGTCCGGCTGATGTAACCCCGCCCACCCCGCCCAATCAGAGAGGAGAGGGTGTGGCCGCAGTGCTGCTCTTAGGGGGGATCTTAACTGCAAGAAGAGAGGCTTGAAAGGGCAGACCCGCACACCCCTTTGGCGGGGGGGAGGGGGGAGAATTGACTGACAGACGAGTTCACCAACCACAGGAAGCAGAGTAGAGGGGCCCTTTGAGAAGATGAATGG